AAGAAAAAAACACTCTCTTCACTCTTATTAACTTATTTAACATTAAAAACACATGTATTTAGTGTAAAATGAGAAGGGCTTAGCCTTAAAGAAAATTATTTGCCATCCTGTGCAGCTGGCTTGTCAGTATTGTGGTATTGCAATATTGTGATTATCACAACAACCCTACTTAGGCTGCTCTTAATCCTGCACTTAAACATTTATTGTATTTCTAATCTGTTTTTTATTAATTTTCAGATGAAAAGTGCTACCCAATGCTGGTTGTTCTGGCATATCTTCTGCCACCGTTGCCTGGAAGTCGCTGCAGTGTTAAATAGGAAATTTCATTCCTTCAATTTCCATTTGTACCGGTATGTTTTACATGGACAGTTATTCTTTTAATGATGTCTTGATGCTTTCTAAACTCCTGAAATGTATTTGTTTTTTTCCCTTAACTCTAAGCCTGGAGCTATATTGCATCCCTCTGCAGCAGTTTTGAGACCGCATCAAAGACCAGACCACAGCCAATCTACATTGAGAGTTTGAAGAGCACAACATGACAATACATCATTGCGACGATTGACAAAATGACCATTTCTGTGGATGAGGGCCTGACGTGCTGTGGACAAGATATTCTAGGTGTGAAACTTCTGTCCACCACAGATTAGTTCTGTCTTCACTTTCTAAGACTGGGACATCTAATATTGAAACACCACATTCTCTTCCTTTTAAAACTGACATTCCTACTTACTGTGTTGCCTCTTTTGTGGCCCAAATGTATTCTTCATCAAATACAACTAGTGGATGTAACAAGAAGTATTACTTCACAATTAGCACACACTTACAATTTTACAATATTTACAACATTGATTGTCATTGAGAACAATTTCAAAATATGTGCCTGAATGTTTGTCTGAACTAAAATGTTTATATTTGTATGTATCAAAAAGTATCTGACTTTCTTATGAGATTAAGTTGATCTTATTTTATGAGAAATGTTATCCTCTGGTCTTGTTTCTGTTAACCGTAAGTGTAATTGATGTTGGCGTCACTTTTTAATGAATACTGTGGTTAATAGCTAGTGCATTACAAATGCTTTTGTATTATGAAGAAAAATGACAAACATACAATAGATTTATAAAATTAACTGTCATTGACCAATTTAAAATGTTTATTTGTTGTCTGATTTGGAAAGTTTTATCTTGTATCTGACATTTTATGTTACAAGTTAATCTTATGTTATGAGAAATGTTATCTGCTAGTCTTGACTGTGTATGATTTTCAATCATCCAAGGTGTAGTTGATGTTGGTAACACTTTTTAATGTATACTGTATTGTAGCTAATAGTTGTAGTGCATTACAAGGCATTTGTGTCATCTAATCATCTAAATTAAATTTATGAAATTGAGATTTAGAACATTTTGTTGTGCCTCTGTGCATGCATTGTTCTCTACCCTGACAACATTTTTGACAAATTAAATTGCTAACATTTTTACATCTGTCTGTTTTATTTCAATTTTGTAGAATTACAAATTGATGGCAATGCTTATTATTTTTGTCATATTAACACATTAATTAGCAGTTTCTGATAATTTTCAGTTACACAATGTGTTTAAATGACACGTGTGTTAAATTACATTACACAGTAGATGTGTGATCCATCTTAACACACAAATTGTGTTAAATTTGACACAACATGTGTTGTCCCTGAGCACACTCACCACATGTGTTAAAATTCTGCACAACGTGTCATTTTTAACACATCTTTTTTTGCAGTGTATATTTGACTTTGTACAACATCATTCAATGGAGGACAAAACACTGGTTCATAATACCATCAAGATGTTAACCACTTAAATTTTACTTTTTGTTAATACGGACGAAGCGCACTGTTAAATTTTGCCACCAGTTGGCGTTTACTTCACCTGTAATGGTGAAAATTATTCAAATACCGGATGCGTGAATCGATGCTTTTGAATACTGAATTGTTTATCCTTCTGGGTTATTTAACAGGAGATAATTACATTTTTAGAAGTTTATTTGTTCACATGATGTAGCCTACACAAAAAGACAGAAGTAGTAGCTATATCTAATCTTTGGATAACATTTACATTTATATTAATGGCTATCTAACCGGATCAAATTTTGTGTGAGACTCTCATAGTAACCTGACAGCAATTCTAGTCATCTGCTAGGAGTAGATAGTAGACAAATCGGATAAATAAGAGGGAAAAATAAGTGGGATATCAATTGGCATGAACAAGGTTATGCTCTACACTGTGTTATTTGAGATACTATGATAGATTTTATTAATATTTTGAAATAGATTTTGTTTTTATATTTTCTACTTTCATTTTAATTTTAGTTGCAGTTTTCGTGTTGTGTGTTTTTAGCATTTTTATTAGTTTGGGTTATTTTAAAATATGTCTTTAATTTTTATTTTAGTTTGATTTATTTGTATATCAAGTTAATCTAAATGAAAATGAGAACTGTTGCCTTGTCGACTAGCTTAAATAAAACGGTTTTCATATTTTATTTTTATTTTTCATATTTTTGTGTCAGTAAACATTTATTTCAAGTAATGGCATTTTTGTATAATTTAATTTTGGTTAATTATAATAACCCTGGCTCTACAGTAACCTACTTGTTTCTTTTGAAATGTAGAAAGCGTGACTGTCCATCTCTAAGCGAGCTCTCTATGGTCTACCCACCGAGCAATGAATCATGACCACGGGATCTCCATATATAAGCGACTGCAAACAGATGAAGACAGCAGAGCCCGACAATAATATCCAGCTGCAGCCCCGCAGCCCCACACGTTTTAGGACACACAATCCAGACCACACTATCCAGGCCGGAAGTGAGGGGCGGAGTTAGTAAAACGTAACAACATGGTGGAGAGCAGGGTGAGTAAAGTTTGTCATTTTGTGATGAAAAATTCGTAGCAGGGTGAAGTTTGTCATTTTGTGATGAAAAATTCGTTCAAAAGTTACATGTTTATTTTATAAATACTGTTTATGTGCATGCCTTTCACGTTTTATTTCTGAAGCTTTGAATTGTTGTCATCCTTTACCATTTTTTTTTTTTTAGGTTGTTTGTTGTAAATGGGCTTTGCGATAAAGCCACTTTATGGTTTAAATGTATTACTTTTTATATATTTAATGCTTTCTTATAATTCTATTAGTTTCATTTTTTGTTGGTTTATTTTATGCTATTCTAGAGCATTGTAAATTTGTTATTGACTTTTTCAAATAACAGAGAACAGGTAAGTTTTATTAAAGCTGCTTTTCTGAAATGGCTCAAGACATAATTGTGTAACTTGTGCACACTTGTGCAATGGTATGTCATTGTAGGGAATGGATGTGTGGACAGCTGACGCATATGTTGTGGCTACCTGGTTACCTCCAAATAATTTGGACCCATCACTGTCTTTTCCAGTAAGGCCATAAAGGTACATCACATTCATAATACTGAAAATGTAATTTAAATCTGACTTTAAAAAAAACTAAAAAAAAAAAAAAATTATTTTAAAATTATCTATAGGATCACATTGCATTCAAAGATGCTATTGTCTTTCCTGCTTGGAAGCCAGGACACTGGATGTTGTGTGTAAGTTATATGGAATTTGGTTACTAAATATATAATTGATTGTGTAAATTGCCTTCATTTGTCTTGTCACAATTCAAAATTACCATTGCACTATTGCAACCTAATAACACACTGTTTTCCAGGTAATGAAGCCAAAAGATAGACAAATCTACTTCTTAGATTCAACCAATCCCTATGGGTTGGGTGATGAGTGCTATGTGCACATTTTCAGGTTGCTTAAATGTGAAAATGTTCATGGTTCGCTGTTCATAAGGTTTGCCTTCAAATGTTCAAAATGTTGGCTTAATGGTTATTTGGATGTTTGCATGATGTTCTGAATTTGCATGTGTGTGACAATTGTTTTATTTTCTGAAAGGCCCAGTTACTGGGGGCTACTGTTTTTGCAGATTTTCTTTGTATTCATACTCTTTCATATGAACTTTGTTGTTATTATTTGTGTATTTTTGTTTCAGTAAGATGACAGCTAAAATTGCAGACATGGATGCTACTAAAAAACAAGGTTAGTTTTGTAATTGGGACATATGTCAATCTCTTACACACAACCTAAATATTTTTCTTTTTCATTTTTTTTAAGGATGTCCCCCAACAGATTGGCTATGTGGACTGTGGAGTCTTCATGTTGATGGTAAGGCAAATCATGTTTTGCTATAAATAAACTAATGCTTGCCTTCCAATTTAATGTATTGACAGTATCAGTTTGTTTCTTCTGGGATCCCTAAACAATGGCATTGCTATCTTTCATCTTTCAAACTCCTTTTGCCCCATTTTAATTATGATTGGACTTTTTCTTAAATTTTGCTGTTTTTTATAGTATGCTCTACACGTTGTGTTGGGAGCCCCCTTTGACTTTACATCTGTAAGTAATTAGGAGCACAAGCAATTGGATTTCATGCTGTTTTGATATTTATAAGATTTCTCTGTATTTCTGTCTTAAAGCATGACTTTCCAAAAATCAGGAGATGGTGGGTGGGCACTAATTCTTTTGGAGAACTTTGGAGTTGTCCCAGAAAGGTATTTCCTTATTTCCTTAAAGTTCACACTACTTTGCCCCCTACCCCAGACAAAAAAAAAAATCAACCAAAAAATGTTACAGGACAGAAAATCTCCAGAAGACACTAGAGCTACATGAAGAACAAGCTACACCCAGCAGCAGTGAGGTATTTGTCAGTAAATATGTGTTGTTGCAAATGTGTAATTTATATGAAATAGTAAAATTGTATTATTCTTTGCCATTTTGTAATGAAGGAGCTCACTATAATCAAACACATGAAACTGGCTGTAAAATGGATACATGCCAATAGACATGTGTTCAGGGGCCCTGTGGAAGAGCCTCTTTTCCTCAGAATGGAAGAGGATGACAAGGAAAAGACCCTCCAAAATCTCATCAAAGATGTGGAAGACTGCAGAGACCCATTCACATTTAATTTTTCATTCAGGGAAGACATGGAGATTTTTTTAGTTGAATGCCATGAAAAAATGGGATTAAAATTGAATTCTTCTTTTGAAGAGTGAAAAGTATAAGACTTTCAAAAGCTTTTTTTGTTTTGTTTTGTTTTTTAGATTACAATTACATTTCTAAATTTTAATTTTAGTTCTATTTTTGGTTGTTGAAATTTTTTTTTTATTAGTATGTTGCACTTTTTCCATGTTCAATTTGAATTTTAAAATAAAAAGTATTCTTGACATCAAACGTCCATTCTCTGTGTCTTTAAGTATTTGTTACAAAACAAACATGACCTAAATATCTCATCATAACCTACAGTCAAAAAAAATGTTACGGTTTACTAGATTGATCAAAATGAATATCAATTTAAAAAATAAAAATAAAATTTTAATATAATTTTTTAGTATTTTGTGTATTATTAAATATTGTAAATCCTATCAAAATTCTTGGGATAGCTCATATTACATCTAACAAAAGAAAATTGCACTACAAAACTGCGACAGATCCACCGTTAACAATATATGGTTCGCCTTACTTCCGGCCTGGATCGTGTGGTCTGGATTGTGTGTCCTGAAACGTGTGGGGCTGCGGGTCTGCAGCTTCAGGGAACAACACATCAGCAGCTATGGAGAGATCTGACAGACTCACACTGATACTTCTGCTCGTTTCTTTACTAGCAGTTTGTCGTCCAGTGGACGCCTGGTACAAACAAGCGGCGAGACCGAGTTACTACTCCGTGGGCAGAGCTTCAGGACTCCTGTCCGGGATCAGAAGGTCAGAACCAGAACTAGAGCCCATCGACCCACTGACAGACATCAATGCCCTGCCAGAAACACATTTCCCACGCAACTTCCTCAAAAACATGGTAAGATTACTACAGTAGCTTATTTGTCTCTGTATCTATTCGTAACTAATCAAAATGTTATACATCATATATTATTCATAGCCTACTCTAAGTTCAGTCTTGGAAAATGGTCAGCTTTTTCAAAACAAACCATAAACTGTCCTGATCCTACCACAGCTTCTTCCAAACTAAGATTACTATATCAAAGCATATATTGTATTCCAACACAATTATCATATATTATGATTATTATTTTCCCTCTCTCTCTCTCTCTGTAGCCCATTTGTGTGAAGGATGTTGTTCCAGAGCTGCGAAGCTGTGAGTTTCTCCAGGATGGTAGCTTGTTTAAGTGTGGGGCCAGTGTGATCTTCAGCCTGGACTCAAGAATCTGTCTCAGCAGCTGAGAATGAACACAGTACCTTTCAGTCATTCCGAACAATACATACAGTATTTGTGAGCAAGGTGTGAACAAGTGCACTCTTAAAATTACAGTAATGTGGAATAAAATGTTTGAACGTCATTTAATTCATATCAAAATGGTAATGTATTTTTTAGTTACTTTTATGTGGCTATTAATGTGGCAGTGAATTTTAGTGGATGCATGAAGTTCACACACACACACACACACGTGTCCACAGGAGTGATCGCAGATATAATTTCTTACATTACCTATGAACATGTTCCATTAATATCTGACAACCACAAAGTACCAGTATTTTTGTCGTTTTGATCAGCCAACTTTTTTTTTTTTTAAACCGATCAAATTATTTCAAGTAAATGCCCCAGATATTATCTAATGTAAGGACTTCCATAATGAAGTGTCATTCAGCAACTTGAACTTACCAGATACACTTTTTTTTTTTTTTTGTACACAAGACACGTTATAGTACAAAGTAAAACATCCAGCTAAATATAATTTAGCCCATTTATTTACAACACTTTAATGATCCCACAATTAAGTCAATTAACTAAGCAGGTAACAAATCAAAGATGCCCATAATTAAAATATTATTAAAAAAATACTGCATTTATATATGGATTTCATGATCCATTACAAATAAGCAATTTTGTTAAAAATAGACACAGAAACAACAAACAAAAAAGGAAATATAAAAAATTAGAGAAGTGAGATTGTTTGAAGGTTATGTTTAACAATAGTGCTCATGGTGAGCTGGAAGGCATCATGTACGCTGGAGGGGTTTGTGGCATTGGTGAAGTGAGAGTACACCATCTTGCCTGAGGTGGTAGCACATGCCACAAACTGGTCAGTCACATATTGAGCAGCACAACTCACATCACAGTCAGACCCTGCATCCCAACACAGAGAAACACATTAATCAGTTCCTTAATATATTAAAACTTTACCAAATATCCTTTCAAAAGGTAAAAAGACAATGATGGCCTTGTGCATTTTTTAATACTACTATTGCATACAGTATGCCGTATACACATGTAGCATGTACAGTTTTAAATAAGGAACTCGCTAAATCCTGCCTTAAAAACATTAGTGACATTTCTACCTTAGCTACTACAGGTGCATCTCAATAAATTAGAATGCCGTGGAAAAGTTCATTTCAGTAATTCAACTTAAATTGTGAAACTCGTGTATTAAATAAATTCAATGCACACAGACTGAAGTAGTTTAAGTCTTTGGTTCTTTTAATTGTGATGATTTTGGCTCACATTTAACAAAATTCACTATCCCACCAATTCACTATCTCAACAAATTAGAATATGGTGACATGCCAATCAGCTAATCAACTCAAAACACCTGAAAAGGTTTCCTGAGCCTTCAAAATGATCTCTCAGTTTGGTTCACTAGGCTACACAATCATGGGGAAGACTGCTGATCTGACAGTTATCCAGAAGACAATCATTGACACCCTTCACAAAGAGGGTAAGCCACAAACATTCATTGACAAAAAGCTGGCTGTTCACAGAGTGCTGTATCCAAGCATGTTAACAGAAAGTTGAGTGAAAGGAAAAAGTGTGGAAGAAAAAGATGCACAACCAACCAAGAGAACCGCAGCCTTTCCACGACATTCCAATTTATTGAGATGCACCTGTATAATGATTAGCCTAATGCCAGTCTAAAGAAGTCCTGTGTGTCTGGATGTGTTAAAACGGAATTGCACAGAAATTATGCAACAATGCTTAAACATATGGCTCTTATAAGAGTGACTGACGTGAGGTATCCAGAGAAAACGGATTATTAGTATCTGCAGTCTTTAATTACATAGCAAAGGGCCAACTAGACATGGAAGGGCAACAAATCAACACACAGACAGGGAGAGAGAGAGAGAGAGAGAGCGACCGAGAGAGAGCGACCGAGAGAGAGACAGAGGCAAACAACATCTACGGTCATTAATTGAATACTTTGTAACTTCAGCAAGCTTATTTATAAACCCTGTAAAGTAAAATTATGCTCCACAGAAATAAACAAGACTGTAAAAAAATGTTAGTACCTTTGAAGTCTGGTTGATAAAGTCGCAGGTGTCTCCCAGAATACAGTATTTTCTCAGCAAACAGATCAATTTTGTTCAAAAATAAAACCTGAAAATTGAATTTAAATGCAAAGTTAAAAGAAAACTAAAAACATCTGAAGCCATTCAACCCTTTCAATTAATTCATCCCTATTGTTTTTGTCTATTGCAGAACAAAGTGTTTGTTATATTAATTAGTATATACTCTGAAAATCATTGCATGACAATTCTTAATAGGAGCATTAACGAATGGACAAAGACTGCATCATATGGAAATGCATAACTGAAGTGGTACAGAATGATGGTGTAAAGAGAGGTCAGCACTTGTGATGAAGCAGGTTAGGTGTACACACTAAATCTCAATGAGTGCAGACAATTATGGGCGGTTATGAGGAGGGGAGGGGCTTAGAAACCGATTCTTTCAATGGACTCATAAAAAGCACAAATACAATCAAGCTTCACGTAATAGTATGAATAATCATCATCATCTTTGCAGACAACATCTTTTTTTAACCCCAGTTCAGATCAAAGATGACAATAACAGAATTAAATATAGTGTGAAAGCCCTAATGTCAGATTACACCGATTTTACAGGCCCTGAAACAAACCCAGCTCACCAGAGAAGCTCCTCTGAAAAACACACTTTTACATGTGGATCTGAAGTACTCCAGGCTTTCATGGAGACGGTTCTGTTGTTTAAAAAAAATAAATAAATAAAAAGTTAAGTTACATTTTGTAATGCTTGGTATTTTAGTGTGACATGGTATGAGGAATATGATAGGAGCAATTTTCAATCCACTTAATCTTTTCCTCTTTTTGTACTTTTTAAACTTTTCTATTAATCTTCAATGGTTGATAGTATAGTATAGTATATATTTATTTAATGCCATGTCAGCATCAAAGGCTATTTTCATGGCAAAAGTATAAAAAATACAATAAAAACTAGCAAATAAACAAGTTATCACACAAGATTTTTACATTAACGTGATAAAAATGCAAAAATTTTTCCTGGCAAAATTTTACTGAACTCTTTAAGGGAATTCACTTCATAAAAGAGTTTCTGTACATTAAAAGCTGGACAGTAAATAAAATGTTTAACAGAAAGAGGATCTTCGATGGTTGAAGGGCGAGTAGAATGTCACCTAGTTTTTGAAAATGTTCATTATTGTATTCATATAGCGAAACTTTCACAGATTGTTTAATGAAACTGTTTAATGAAATGTAACTCACATAATTCATGCAAAACATCACAGGGCATAGACAAAAGGGTGGAAAGGCTCTGTCCTATTCCCAAATCATACATGCATACAATTATGCGGTTAACTGACTCTTACTTTTTGCATGAGCTCAAGATGTCGAGTGTCTAAGCTTGCACTACACTACGTACACCACAGGCTTCACAATCTACATGCATTTCATTTCATTTGTCAGACCTTAACTAAAGCCTGTTACACAAACTTTTCTGACAATAAGATCTAACTAAATCATCTGGGTTTTTGAACAGATAAGACAGCATTCTAGAGTTAGAAAGTTTCCGTAATATGGGCACAAGATCTCTAAAAATCAAGTATGCTACTCACCTTGGAATGATTTTCATCAAGGTTTTGATCATACCCACTAAGAGCCACCATAAACAGCACTGCCTGGACATCGTCGAAATAACTGTACCACTTCTTTCTTTCTGAACAATGACCACCCACATCATATAGCCTATAAACAAAGGAGTATTTATAAACAAATTATTTGTATGATGAAATTAAATAAAATCAAGCTGAATCTCATACGAGAAAAATTAAGTCAAAACTGGTTAAACTAATTTGACTAAGTTAATGGAAATATACAATGTGCTGCCTTCCATTTAAATCAAATTCAGGTGTACATAAATATTTATTTTTATCCTTTTTTAATCTTGACAAACCCTGGTCACAGTGTGATTTTACTGTACGGAAAAGGAGCCACATGAACACTCTGCTAAACATCATCTTTAGTCAGTAATGAAAATAGAATCACACAAACATGTTTAGCTATGATAACACTGCAGAAATCTGTTTACCTGTACAGCGAGTTGTTGACTTTGAACTGGGTTTCGATGACACCACGAGTCCTTACTCGCACTCTGAGGACATCTGTTTTAGTGGGGATGTAGTTTGGTGCGATGATGCGACTTATGTTCTCAAAAAAACTAGATTTGTGCGCACACAAAACGGAGGAAAAACCAAAAGCACAAAATGTTTAATGCTCAATTTTACACACACAAATCAACATGCCCATTTTTTCCCTCAAAATTACAATGGTTACATGGAGGATAATACAGATAGCAGTATGCAGTATTAAATCTCCTGCAACTATCATTCATAAACTATCCTCACTACCACTACATAAGTCACTCATGACGTTCTTTATTTGCAATTTGGAAAATTATATCAAACCAAATAGGGGAAATTAAAGAACTAGCCACTTGTTCAAACATGAAGATTACATTCAGTATTTTAATAGTTCCAAATGGCAAGCGGAAAAGATTATCCAGCCTTAAATCTTTAATTCGGGGATTTGAGATGAGAAACTTCTGATGTTATCATTTTCCTTAGGTTAAACATTTTTAGAAGATGCAGAAGTCATTGCTGATTATCCTTTGTATTACAGTAGATTGGCCATTGACCATTGGAGACTGAGATTGCTGTTGCTGTATGCACCTTACCATAACCTTTCATTCAGTTAACTGCTGAATCAGATTTGTTTTATTTTACCGTACCTTTGGACGATGTTCCCCCCATAAACACATTTTTCACTGTTTCTAAACAATCACACTGATAATGACTGGAAAGCAATACTGCAGTTATTTGCATCATCAAAGAGTGATTGATTTATGTGATTGGCCAAGTTGAGAGACCACAGACGGAGTAAAACATGGCAAATTGTTG